CTGCCCCCACGAGCCAGCCCCTGCGCCCCCCTCCCGTTGCCCCAGAGCCAGCCCCTGCGCCCCCTCCGCCCGATGCCCCAGAGCCAGCCCCTGCGCCCTCCCCCTCCCACTGCCCCAGAGCCAGCCCCTGCACCCTCCCGCTGCCCCAGAGCCATCTTCTCTTCCCCACAGCCGAACCCCCCATAATACCCACCAACTGCGAGAAACTTTCCCGTGGTGGAGCCGCCCACTAATACCACGTTATCGTGGAGGCAGAGGTCACGACCTCACGCAAGTTACGTTATCGCCCGTCAGATTGGCGCACGCGCAGTTCTTTCCCCTTCCCCCTCCCGTAGGCAAGAAAAGCGCGGGAAAAGGATCGCGGTCAACTGCGGGCCCCGACTAACGGCTCCGTGCGGGTTCGAGCCGCGCTATCCCTGCCCCTCTTGGCTTTCAGCCGGCTGAGTGCCCGCTCATCCCCCCGACATCGCGCCTCTAAGCACGCAGGAGCCTGGGGCTGGGCGAAGAGCCAGCTCATTAGATGGTTTCCAGTCACCCAATCCTTGCCCTGCCCACGGAGCTCGGGGTCTGGCCCCAGCCCTGGGGATGAGTGTGGGGGGCCGCACCGTGTACAGGCCCAGGCGGCTGGGACCCAGACACAAGAAGAGGGAGTCCTGTGGGGAGAGCAGCGGGCATGTTCTCTGCGTGGAGATGCCCCTGTGCGTGTTCAAAAGCAGCTGTACAAAATCCCTGCTGGTCGGACGCTGAAACGACCTCGGGCCCTGGTTCCCAAACTGGGGTTTGCAAAATGTTACAGGGGGCTCGTGGGAGGAATTCCCTAATGGCGGACAGAGCTGGCCCTAGGGACCCCGGGCAGCACTGGGCCAGCAGCCTGGAGGCCCTAGGCTTCCAAGAGCCAAGCAGATCAAAGCAAGCGTATCTATCACACTGAGGAGATTTAAACTTCAAGACTCCTTATAAGCAATGGAAAGGGAGGTGGATATTTATTCTGTTTTTAAAATTAAAGAGGCAGCTAGTGTTGTTTCTAAAATTATTAGGAAGAACAAGTTTAAGCTTTGTTGTAATGTGTATTGTTTGCTGGGACTGCTCAAGACCTGAATGCCGGGCCAGTGTAACCACTCGGCAAACTAGGCTGCTGGCGAGGGCGCCAAGACTTGGGAGCGCCAAAAAGCGGTGTCCGGCATCACAGGAGTCAGCTGAGCAGGGCAGGGAGTGAGGCCTCCATAACAAACCCACCCCCGGAGCGAGGGGTGCTGCGCAGGACGGTCAGTGGGAGCCTGCGGCAGAGCAAGGAGGAGACCGCCAGCTGGGCGCGGTGACCAGCGCAGCCAAGGGATGGAGCCGCTGGGGGAGGCAGGACGCGGTCCTGAGCTCAGGTGAGCTTTACCCTCCAATGCGCTGTGCCTAGGGCCAGGTGCAGCTGCCTCCTGGGGCGAGGGAAAGTGAAACTAAACCCCACAGTGCAACGGAGGAGAAAGGGCTGGCGCAGGTGCTGCTTCCAAACACCTCCCCCTCCCCCGGTGGCACAGTGCCAACGTGGGAAGCCAGCCCTGATCCCCAGGGAGATCCTCACATGCTCCCTGGGAGCGCCTGGCTCTGCCCTCCTTGCCTCTGGATCCCCCCAGAGGGCAGAGTACTCCGAGCCTGGGAACATTTAGAGACCCTGCGAGCTGGGGGCATTCTCCGCCTCTTCCTTGCTCATAGGTTCCCCCAGGCCAGAAGGGACCGTTGTGATCATCTCCTCTGACCCCTTTGTATTAATTCAAATGAACAATGCCACATTATGCAGTACTCATTTTTGAAAGTTTATAATAAGCGATGCTCTGGGGGGGGGGAGGGGGGAGAGGGACGGCGCAAGGGCCTAGGGCGCAAAATATCCTTGCAGCGGCCCTGCCTCAATGGTTGTGTAGGAGGAACTCTTTGAGGTGGCTTCTTAAATACCTTCATGCTGTTTCACATCTGATACTCCTTGATGAAACATAGTAGTCTTGTCTTATAGCAGGCTTATTCAAAGTGATACAAGCTACGAAAGTGAGATCTTGGAAGAGTGTTGCCCTTTTCATAAGGTAATAATACTGTAATGATAAATAATAAATAGTGTGTAATAAGCATGTCACAAAAACAAATTTTATATTTCCAAGATTGCTGCTTTTATAATTTATGCTCAGGTAAAGGAGACAATTCCTGGAAATATTCATTTTTAGGAGGGGGTTTGTGAGGCTGACATTTTAGTGAAAGGGGTTCATAGGTTGTTAAAGTTTGGGAACCACTGACCTAGGGCTTTGTCTGAGGGCCCTGAAATCATGTTTCCTCTGTGTTATTTTATCATGGCTCTTGAAATAGAGCCCTGGCCTGGCAAAGACGGGCTTAACTTCACTCCTGGGATATGGTGACACAGCAGCTAGGAGGATGCTTCCCACCACATTAGATGCATGTTAGCTCCCCATAAGGTAGTGCACTAAAAATAGCAGTGGGGTCAGGGTGGCTGGAACTATCCACCTGAATCCAATCTTGCCTGCCCCCCAGGTACATAGTTGGACACTAGCCTGAGCAACTGCCTGTGCTGCCATGGCCACCCTGCTATTTTTAGTGTGCTAGCTAGAGTAGAGCTACCACATGTTTGTCTACCCAGGGTGAGAATTAACCTTTTGGTGCTGTGCAGACCTACCCATTGGAAGTACTGCAATTGAAGTCTGAGCAGAGATGCTTATGATGATTAGTTGGGAATTGGCCCTGCTTTGAGCAGGGGGTTGGACTAGATGACCTCCTGAGGTCCCTTCCAACCCTGATATTCGATGAAGTCACTAGATGTACTTGCAGTGCATAAAGTTAAGCATGTGCAAAAAATCTTTGCAATATCAGAGCTTTTGTCTCCATCTTTTGGGCCTGAGCCTGTTCCCATTAATATCATTAGGAGTTTTACCTTTGACATCAGTGAAAGCAGGGGACTTACCTGCAACATTAAGTTACAGTCTATCCTCCAGAGACAGTGTTGGTTCAGCATAAAAGTATAGTGCTTAATCTTTGCAGATTGAACAGGATTTAGAAGGGGTTCCCAAACTGGGGTTGGGACCGCTCAGGGGGTTGTGAGTTTATTACATGGGGGGTTGCGAGCTGTCAGCCTCCACCCCAAACTCTGCCTTGCCTCCAACATTTATAATGGTGTTAAATATATTAAAAAGTGTTTTTAATTTATAAGGGCGGGTTGCACTCAGAGGCTTGCTATGAGAAAGGGGTCACCAGTACAAAAGTTTGAGAACTACTGATTTAGAACATCTGAAAAAACTGTAGTAAGTGTTTTCACATGCAATGAGCTTTACCTGAAGTATGGCAGACTATCGGGGGAGGGAGTGTGATGAGGCATTGTTTCCAAAAAGTCTGCAATAAAAACTTAATCTCCCATTGTTATTACACTGGTCCTTTTTTTAAAAAGTCTTTGCATCATAGGAAAAGTACCGTCAATAGGCTTTGTAATCAGTTCATTTTAACCTAAACCAGTTTCAAGCATTCTGTATTACAAAACAGAAAATGATACAATTAATGAAAAAAGTCAAAATGCTGGCATCACTTTTTGTTTCCACATTAATACATAAAAATGGACAACACATTAAATAAACATTTCGTTATTAACAATTAGAAATATTAACACCAAAAATCATGTATAAATTAGGAAATAAATGTACAAACTATTTCCAAAGTGCTCTTTCAAATACAGTATATACACAACATTCAAGAAATTCTTAATGTAAGACATTTCAGATAGAAGTAATGTTGCTGTTTAATTTTTTTTTAAATGTTGTTCATATTCTCTCAAAAGGATTATATTAGCACTTTCAAAAACCACATAAAAGGCATATTTCCAAGCTGGCAAGGAACAATATTGCATTCTCCTGGCTACCTGTAACATTAACATAGATTTAAAAAAAAAACTCATACTTCTTTTCTGTGCCTTATTTGATATTTAAAAGTATTTAGTTCTATGAAAACACCAGCAGGAAGGAAAAGAGAAATGAAGAATGAATAAAAATGCTAACTCCATTTCACTGATCAGCAATTAGAAGTGTTAATGCTGCAAGGGCAGAGCTTGAACAACATTTAATAATAAACCATTTAGCTATCAAGTATTAAGATTTTCCTTTTCAGGAAAAACAAATCCAAACCTGAAGCGTGAGATCTAAATTTTCTGGGTCGTGTTAGTTTTCAGAATATAAAAATTCCACAACTCAAAATATAATCCAATAAACACCTAAAAAGGAGAAAACTCACAGAGGATATATTTAACTCTATACTCTGAAAGTTCCAGTTAACCTTAAGGTAATATTTCACTTTTTTAAAAAATGTAGATTAAATAAATTTTAGCCATTTTAACCCTTTAGTCACAGACAATTTAGACATATTTTACTCAGCAGTAAAAATCCTATTTTTTAAAAAAATGTAAAACTGAATTTAAACTACTTTTTACTTTTATTGTTCATGTTGGCTTTTAAGTACCACTGTCCCTATATTTCTCATTCTCCCTCTATAGGTTTTCCTTTAATGGTTGAATCCCATTAACAATCACCTTTCCATATGCATAATGAATGTTCATAGTTAAAGCTGAATTACTGTTTTTTCCTTTGAAACAAAGATGGATTTTTTACACCAATTCTAAAGTACTTCTATCAAGCTACTAGAGAAAAGAAAAAGTGATGAATAACTGCAGAAAAAGTCAATTTGATAACCTGATTTTATTTACGGTTATAATGCTTGCTAGAAAATCTGAACTAGTAGGGCAATGGAAGAACCAGAAATTAAAGAGCAAACAACCGGCTACCTGGGAAATTTGGCATGAATATTTATAAGTTGTGATAAAATTTGGAGTAGCATATTTAAGACTGGAATGTGGTCACATGTTTGTCAGCTAAACATGATATGAAGCCATACTGATTTCTAGTAGACTTACAGATTCATTCCCAGAGTTTTCTTTTATTTCTTTTACCCATGACATATACCATACTTAAACCATACTTTCATGGATCTATAAAAGGTGCTTCTGGGTATTCATATTTCCTTGAAAACCGGTTTTGATCATCTCTGCACCTTTTACTACAAAAATGTGGAATTGTGCAGATATTACATTAGAAGACATGGGTAATTAGCTCTAAAAATTTGCTGAGCATAATGTCCTCAGCAAATGAAATATTACTTCAGTTGTTTTTATTTTTGTCTTATAGTGTGGAAATTGATTCAACATAAAGAATGCCCCCATCTCCATACCGTAAAATAGTACATTTTGAGAACCATGGATTTCAGAGGCTGGCATATACAACAGGTAAACTGCAATGTATCCAATTAAACATAGGTTCATAACCTACATTAGAATAACTGCATGGGCAGAGATGTGACTGAGTGATCTTTGTATTTAGCTGGATTGCAGAATATCCTAGCTGTTTCCCAGATCTCGGCACATAAAAACTCTGATCAAATGACCCCTAAGCTATTTAGAAACATCAAGAATGGAAAAAAAAAAAAAAAAAACCTACTGCATTGTATCAACATACATACTATACACAGCACCAAATATATCAAACCATTAAAGCATTGTCTTGTTACCAGTAGTGCACTGCTTCATATCCAGCATGAAATGAACACTGTTCACATACAGACGCTGCTTTGTGCTAAGGGGTAACCAACATATTACAATTAATCAAAACTGCCAGTACATCCAGTTCAAAAGATGGATATACTATTGAAATGAATCAGATACAGGAGCTTCTCCCTTTATTGCTGGTAGTTTCCATATTGACCCTGTTAAAAATTACAAAATACGACACATTAGAAGATAATATCATTTCTGTATCATGCACTCAGGGGGACTGGATGAAACTATTATCTTTTGGCTTACAAAATTGGATGGGCCTAATAATGCATTGCCAATACACTCACATTGGATTCCCTAGTATGACAATGGATATGGGTCTTCAACCTCATACTTTCCTGTGTGCAAGAAAAAGCTGAGTTCTTCCAAGGCAGGGCTTCCTGAAAAAGGCTATTCCAGACCCTTTACGGCACAAATTAAGATAATTTACCTGCTCATAGCCATAAGGCCTCTGTTGTTGGGCAGATGGTCCTGTCTGAGAAGCTCTGTAACTGCCATACTGCTGCCCCTGTCCCTGTTGGTAGCTGGAATACTGTGAAGAGGCTCCTTGTGCAGGACCTGCAAAGGAAAGATAGCAAGAACAGTAAGAGGCCAGTATGGCTCTATCAGAAGCTTTTTAATTACCTGAAAATCAAAAAGGAATTCTACAAAAAGTGGAAACATCGATGAATTGCTCAGTACAAAAGAGTAGTGCAAGCAGGTATGGATCAAATCAGAAAGCACAAAATGAGTCATGCCTTAAAAGGGACATAAAAGGCAATAAGAAGTTCTTTAAATACATTAGAATCAAGAGAAAAAGGAAAGAAGTAAAGTTCAGGCCCTCTACTTAACAGGGAAAGAGAGATAATAACTGATCACATCAAGAAGGCTGAGGTGTTTAATACCTATTTTGCTTGCTCCACTTAAAAGATTGATTAATGGTGATCAGATACTCAACACGATTAATGTTAACAACAAGATGGAAGGAATGCAAGTCAAAATAGAGAAAGAACAGGTTAAAGAATATTTAGATAAGTTAAATGTATTAAAATAAGCAGGGCCTGATGAAATTCATCCCAGTGTATTTAAGAAACTAGTTGAAGCAATCTCAGAACTGTCACAATTATTTTCGAGATCTCATGAAAGATGGCTCCCAGAGGGCTGGCGAAGAGCAAACATACTACTTATCTTTAAAAATGGGAACAAAGAAGACGCAGGGAATTATAGACCAGTCAGCCTAACTTTGATACCTGGAAAGATACTGGAACAATTTGTTAAACAATCGGTTTGTACTAGCCTAGTGGATGGAAACAATAGATGCGATGTATCTTGATTTAAAGAAGGCTCTTAACTCAGTCCCACGTGACATTCTCATTCTCTAGGGAAATGTTGTCTAGATGAAATTTCTCTAAGGTGAGTACACAACTGTTGAAAGACTATTCGGAGAATAGTTATCAATGGCTTGCTATCAAACTGAGAGGATGTATCTAGTGGGATACCATGGGGTCAGTCCTGGTTCCAGGTTTATTTAATATTTTCATTAATGACTTGGATAGTGGAGTGGAGTGTATGCTGATAAAATTTGCAGATGACACCAACATGGGAGGTGTAGAAAGCAATTTGATTAGAATTCAAAAGAATCTTGACAAATTAGAGAATTGGTCTGTAATCAAGATTATATTCAATAAAGGTAAGTGCAAAGTACTACACTGAGGAAGGAAAAATCAACTGCACAACTACACAGTGGGGAATAACTGGCTAGATAGTACTACTGAAAATGATCTTGGGGTTATAGCGGATCACAAGCTGATTATGAATCAACAATGTGATGCAATTGAGAAAAAGGTTAATATTTTGGGGTGTGTCAACAAGAGTATTATATGTAAGACACAGGAGGTAACTATCCTGCTTTACTTGGCACTGGTGAGGCCTCAGCTAGAGCAGTATGTCCAATTCAGGGTACCCCACTTTTGGAAATATGTGGAGAAACTGGAGAGAGTCCAGAGGACAGATACAAAAATGCTAAAAGGCTTAGAGAACTTGTGAGGAAAGGTTAAAGACTAGACATGTTTAGTCTTCAGAAAAGAAGACCGAGGAGGGACCTGGTAAGTCTTCAAATATGTTGAGGGTGATATAAAGGGGACAGTGATCAGCTGTTCTCCATGTCCAGTGGAGGTAGGACAAGAAGTAATGGGCTTAATCTGCAGCAAGGGAGATTAAGGTTAGATATTAGGAAAACCTTACAAACTATAGGGGTAGTTAAGCTCTGGAATAGGCTTCCAAGGGAGGCTGTGGAATAAGAAAAGGTTAAACAAACACCTGTCAGGGTGGTCTAGGATTACTTCGTCCATCGTCAGTGCAAAGGGACTGGACTAGATGACTTCTCAAGGTCCCTTCCAGCCTTACATTTCTATGATTCTGTGATTAAGATAGTGAAACCTATGACCAAAGTTTGATTTACCTCAGGGGAGGTCTTGTAGTTAACAGCACTGCGACAGGAGATTTAGGTTTTATTCCTGCTCTGCCACTGACTTCGTAGGGTAACTCACTCTGTGTCTTGGTTTCCATAGCTGTAAAATCATGACAATATCTACCTTCCAGAGATCGAAGGTTGAATTCAGTAGCGGTTATATAGCTTTTTGAAATTTCCCCCAATGGAAAAATTGATGGTAATGCAAATATTTATTTTATTTTGAGTTGGATCCCTACACATCATCTTCACTAATCCATTACAGTAGAACCTCAGAGTTATGAACACCAGAGTTACAAACTGACCAGTCAACCAGACACCTCATTTGGAACTGGAAGTACACAATCAGGCAGCAGCAAAGATT